TGGCCAAAGTAATATTTTTCCGTTACCTGACGCATTCTCACATAAGCGAATATACGAGGTCTTATTAGAACAGTAATTGTCGATTTAACTTTGCTTGGCATTTAGCCAGGGTTTCTTTTCATTCCGCCCATACGACATGATTACTCTGCATTTAGCTTGCACCACAGCCCGTATCGAACTTACCCCGAGTTACCAGTCACCGACCGTCGAGGCGCTTCGGTATTCAAAAAGAGCACTCGTCCCGCGGCGCAAGCGGTGTCGGGCGGCGAAGATGCTCCCACCCCCCGACGCCCGCCAGCGGTAAGAGCGCTCGTGTCGCAGCCCCTCCCAGTGGACTGTTTCATTTCCGCGCCTCTCCGAAGCGAAGCGACGCGCCTCGACCTGGTGCCCGCCAACGCAAGAGGAGTCTGCCGCCCGCAACGCGACGCGACGCCGAAAACAGTTAAAAGTAAAACGCGTTATTTAAAGGTGAAACATTTTTTGCAAGACCTAAGGAAACTGCCGGAGCACTATTATGTAAAGAGGTTAGTTAGGACATGCAAGCTATAAGTTAGTTGTAAGATTAGCTATAGCTAGCTTATAAGAACTCCCCCCTTTTGCCGCAATAGCCAAGTGGGGCTGCGACGCGACCGCAGATTGTTCTGCATTCCCAAAAAGGTAAATAAACCACCGCCTCGTCAGGGATACCTGTGGGTAAAACTTAGAGATAAAAGAAAAGAAAAAAGAAAAAAGGTTCACGACGTCTCTCAAAGCGTGGCCCCGCCCTCTGCGTGGAGATCCCAGGGTGGTGCGGCGCTTTCCCTATATCACCACCTAGTGCTGACCGTGACATGCTATGTTCGACGTAGTGAAGTCGAGAATGGTCACTTACGATAGCGTACTTTAAATGTATGTTTTTATGCATATTAAATATTTGTGTATTTAGTTGTGAGTATGAGTGATATGGACCACAACTATATTGAAGGTTTTAGTTGTGGCCCTTGAGACCTTCTAAGTTGGACATCCCTGAAGTAGAGGCTAGCGCCAGCTGCTCTCATTCGTCGTTTCCACCGATGAGTTCCAGGCGAACGCTGAAATAATTCCCATCCCCAATAATTTACTTCTAGTGTGAGTAAGTGGTAGTCAGGTCAGAGCGCAAGATGGGTACCTCTAGCGTTGGGAGTGCGAATAGAACGGAGGGGAACGTTTCGCCCGCGGTTCGTAAATCGTTTTTGAAGAAATAAGTGGGTGTTTGACAGATATTTTTCCAAGCAAAAAAGTCATTTCGTAATTTATGTGAATACGACAGACGAGGTGGCATGAATGTAAATTGGATAGACAATTTTTGAGGAACGGTTAATTATGACAGAATAAGGCAAATGATTGGCAATGCATATGTAACGGATAAATAAAGTAAAAAACTCAGTGAAACTTTTTTTATACCACAGACTCTCTGTAGTGACCGGAATTGAAACTCCAAATTGAAGAGGTGGAATATGTGCGGGTTCGCAGCATCCTCATGGGTTGCTATTGGCTATTTTCGAAAATCCGCCCCCCGCTGGGACTAGATAACCTCTTAATACCGGTCTTCTAAATTTCTAAGCTTCTAGTCCATTCCGTACGAGCAAAAAACTGGTGTAGTAGAAAAGTATGTACTGTGAAAGTGAAAAACATTTCATGTATCAAAATGTAATGGTTCACCACAAACAAGTAGTTTTGCATGGTATTCTGCATGTTTTATGTACTAATAATCTAATCACGAGCATGCCATTAGACGGTGTAGTGTAGCATTTTGGACGTAATCTCTTGTAATTGTCTACGTAGCTCTGAGAAAGTGCTTGGCAGCGCAAAGACGGGGTCGTGTGTGCTCCGCTGGGGGGGGGGGGGAGAGGGGGGAGAGGGGGGAGTGCGCGCGGCGTTGAGCGATGTGTCGGCCCTTGGGGCAATGGGGGCGATTCGTCACGGCTGCGGGCGATCTGCGCCCGAGCGGGCAAATGGCCCATCGACACAACTTCTGCCGGCCTAGTGCGGTTCGTTGTAATGGTCGGAGTGCTTGAGGCCAGCGGACGTCGCAACCACTCCATCTCCGCTACGCTCTTTGTGAGCGGAAGCTTAGTCAAAACTTTGTCGCTTCCAAAATGTAGAAATGGGAGTCTTCGTTGTAGTTAGAATGAGTGAAGTAGAATCAGTACCGTAGATAGTTTCTTTTCTGGGAAAGCCCGTCAAGTAAAGATTTCATCTAGTAGCATTCAAGATGGAGCTAGCCGGTCCGGATGGCCGTAGTGCCGTAGCGATCTCGGACCGAAGGACGGCGGGATCGAGTCCCGCCTCGGGCATGGGTGTATTTGTGTTATTCCTTTCACTCCCTATCATCATCATATCGTGTCATTCTCGCAGTTAGCATACCGGTAAACGCAATAGTGGCCGCTGAAGACCTAGAAGTTAATGCGAGCTTAAATTTAAAAATATTGAACTACACATTTACGTAACATTTTGCGAAGCCCTATATGAATTTTGTCACATAAACCTGGAAGAAATGTTAAAGTGATTTTTATAATAGTTTTGTAATATATTTTACTAAACCAAAAATTAGACTTAACATTTGACTTGAAAAGTACCACCCTGAGAAAATGGTTCGACATTAAGCTGATTTTTTTTTTAGAAATAATCCCTTGGCCCTTTTAATTGTATGCCTGTTTAGAATGGTATGGAATATAAAATATCAAGCAGAAGTAATTTTACATCGTGTAATTTCAATTGTAGGTCAAAGAGAATGTAGGCGTGTTTCAGAGGGAGTTGATGAATTTCCCTGGAGGCTTTGCGTGAAACTATTTTCTTAACATCATTTGCGGAGCAAATGTGATTGGGGACGCAGCCTTGGTCGTGGGTCCCTGAGATGGGGTAGAAATTTCGCTCAAGTTAGTATCATGTGTGGATCGATATGCGTATTTAACGAACATGAATTAAGTCATGTCTGTTGCGAAAAAGTATCAAATGATGAGTATAATGATGTTACTCCATAAAAATCTTTCTGTTCACGGACTTTTCTATAATAGGTAAAAATGTATGCTGCTATCTGCCAGTAGTAGGCAATGGTGTGGAGTTTATGACATTAACATCATTATAAAAGTAATTACAAGGCGTAATTTTGTTAATAATATAATAATATAATAATAATAATTTGTGTAAATGCAAACTATAATTTGTGAATATATAATTAACACATCAATAGTATAACAAATTGAAATATAAATATTCAAATTCCTTGAGATGCAAATGTGTATGTTTGAAAGTAGTTGACTCGTAAGTAATGTTTAGCATGGAATGGAAATGTTACTTATTAGAAGTGCAGATAAAATATCTTTGAAGTGCGGAAGTTTGAAAAGGAAACGTGTTCTTCATGTATCGTTGCAGAGCATGTGAATTTTTCCGCCATGTTGTGGATCAGAATTGTATGAATATTCATAGGTTTATGAATTAATCTGGTTACATTACCGATACCCTTTATGCTGTTTTCTTTGACGTAATGGGATCGTGATGAGAACCTATGAGTTAATAGCGAGGTGGCGTGTTTGCTAAAATTCAAATACACCTGGCAAAGTCTCGTAGCATGTAACGCGCCCAAGTCGGCAGTGGTGGATATCTACTAGAATTACATGTGCTAATGAGTTTTATTCAAATTCTGATAAGAATTATTATCCTCTAATAATAACAGATTCGGTCTTTGTGTTAGGTGTTTACTTGTACAAGTAAATACAGCTTATAGTTAAATGTATAACTTTCCAACGTAGATTTAAGACAAAGTAAAGATAGCACTGAAAGTAACTAATAATGCCTTTACCCGATAAATTTAACCGAAAAACAGCCATATGTGTTACGCCTAATCAATTTGAAACCTCTGGGGGACCTCTATTGACCACTATTGTACTTATTACGTGCTGACAAAACAGATATAGTGTTTGTTTGCAAAACCAATTTTACTACCATCCGCTTTTAATAATATAGCAAGTGTCCAAATTTGTCCTAACGTTCCTCATCCGAATGTTGGAGATTTTTCTGAAGAGCTGAGAAAAGTTTTTTTTTCTTTCCGTATACTGATATATTGACTTAGATGCGGATTGGTTTAGGGTTGTGGGTGTCTCAGTTCCAGTTACTTCCTTCCTAACCCGGAATAGTTGGCGTTCAGGTTTTCTGCAGCCAGTGACGGTCGCAAGAAAATCTCTGGTTCAAATCCTATTAAAAATTTTCAGTATGAGATAGAGATCAGTATTGTTTATGTCTACACACGTAAGACTTGATCTTTTTGTGTTTAGTTCTTTTATATTTTTTTGTTATAGTATATTATTGCATTCTGGAATATCTGCGACAGAACTTGACCTTTTTGCGTATCGCGAGCATGTTATCTATAAGAAACTACAAAAAGCAGTGTAACTTAAACGAAGTCCTTGCATTTTACCACATTCTTTGATGTCCCCTGAAATTTTACATGTCAGAGACGCTCGTTGTGCCAGACAGAAGTGAGGATCCTAGTTTCCGAGTAAGGAGGGAAATGATTTGTTCCGTATCATATCATATGATGCCCTATCTTTCGAAAAAAGCACACTAGAGACCCCGAAGGTTTTGGACAAAGGAAGGTTCCTAGATTTCGAATAAGAGGTGGATGTGTTATAGCTAATCACGTCCTTTGATGACTAACCCTTATCCCAGAAAAATGCATACCAGAGACACCCAAGGTTTTGGACAAAAGCAAGTATCCTAGGTTCCGAATAAGAGGTGGAAGGAGTTTTAGCGAATTACGATCATTATTGAACCCCTTCTCCCCCCTAAAAAACACCCCGAGTCATCGATGGTTTTCGCCAATCAAGGTTCCTCTGTTCTGAGAATAAGGAGTGGCAGAGGCAAGAGCGAGAGTGCGGCGGCTGTGCGCGGTGCTTGTGCATGACTGCTTGATGCGGGGCGGGGCGGGGAGGGCGGGGCTGGGGCGGGGCTGGAGGTGAGCGGGCGACCCGCTGCCTTAGCAGGCTGCCGTCGCCGTCGAGCGCTCATGACGCCCCCGCGTGCGTCACCACGGGGCGCGCGCATGCCCGCGCTCAAGCGGCCGTCGCGCATCGAGCAGCTGCAGGACGACTGGAGCCGGCTGGGCACGTGAGTACTCGCCGAACGACAGACAGACAGCCAGACACTCATGCCAACTGGGGTGGACTGGAGCGAATCACAGGCATTCCAGTCCACGAGATCGATCTTTCAGAACTCGAATGTGACTTGTACTGCACCAAGAAGAGCATTCAAATTCTAAAGAAATTTAATTTTAGTTATGTCTACCAAAAATGTAATTAAACAAAACTTATTTAAATTCATATTAAGTAGTTTGTATAAATCCAATCAATAATTCGAAATTTTGAAAAGTAACCACCTTTATTTTTATTAATTACATACTAAATCTACAGATATTATTTTCGATATCTTGTTGTAAATCCGAAGCAAACATGTGTTATGAATTTAAAACATTTCATTTCAAATGTTAAATTTATATTGTAGTAGAAAAGGATAGAATGTACAAGATTGATCTGAAAGATCGATTTTCTAATGTTGAAATCAATCATTGAAACTTGGGATGGATCCTCCCAACACAATAACAAAGGCCGTGAAACTCAGGGATGGAGAATTATGAGAGATTGTAGAAACCCTCCTTTCTCTTCTCTGCACCCATCACTTCCCATTGCCCCCTTTTTTCTGTGTGTGGGAGTGTTCGCATGTTTCTGTGTGTAGTGAGCACCGCATGCTTTCTAGTTTGGTGTGTGTTTTGCGTTTGGGGTGGACGTAGGGTAGGACTAACCCAGCGACTAACCCTTTGACGGGCTACTGTTTGCCTTCCCTAACTTGTGACCTGCGGGTGGCCGCGGGGGCGGCGGCGGCGGCGGCGGCGACTCGACTCGGCGCGGCTCGGCCAAGAGGCGATCTCTCTGAGCGCCCCGCCGCTAGCGCTACCGCCGCCGCCACCGCCGCCGCGACCTCCGCGTCGGCTGCCCACCTTCAAAGCAACGACGGGGTCGTAGCTCTTCTCCTCACGTACAAGTTACAACTATACTCTCTAAAATAGCTTCAATTTTAATGTGCGATCTGCAAGTTTATCTCATGGACGTACATTAAAATTTATGTGCAAATGCTGCCTTTGTGTTCAAACATTATTTCATATTCATGTACAAATATTAACTTCTCTTATGTAGAACTGCCTTATGATTATACAAATATTTTTCTTATGCATTTATTATGTATTGTTGAATGCAATTTTTTTTCAGAATGCCTAAAATATTCAGCATTTTCTGAAAGAGTACACTCTTATCTTCAAATTCACGTAACTTTCATGTTCCTGAAAAAAGTTGTATAACTTTAAAAATTAATTTCAACTATAAAAATACGCACTGTCCAGTAGATAATGATCAATAAAAGAGTGGAGACTTCTCTCTCATAGTGTTATTATATGAGTAATATTTCCTTTGGAATACATCCATTGTGTGATAACGTATTAAATAACCGTTCAAATTGCCAAATATCTGAGAAGGTCACCAGAAAATAAATCAGAAAGAATGCCTATACTAACAAGAGGAAGACTAACGAGAACTGAAATGTCGTGGAGATGGAAGGAGGAGGAGCTCGCGGGCGCCGCGGAACGTGAAACGCAGCGCTGAGGCGGGCGGTCGATGCCTGACGAGAAAAACGCTGACGTGTTCAGAGGCGCGCGCGGAAAGCCCGAACGCTGACAGCTTCGGAATTCGGAAACAGCTGAAAGGAAACTTTTTGGCAACGCTCCGTCTCAAAGAAACGACGCTGCCCAGTTATTTTAATTGATTTCACGGGATAATGAATTTTTTATGTTACTCGAAATTGAGAATGCTTTGTGTTCGGCGTCCGCCTGTACTGTGCTCTTTCCTGGCTTCATTCCAACAATTTTTGCCTTTGAAAATTTATCTTTGTCTCTTATATCCGAAAAACAGTTCAAAACGAAAACATCCGGGAGATGACGTTCGCACAGGAAGATCTTCTTACGGCCCGAAGCTTCCCCTCTCGCTTCGCTTCACTTCACGACTTTGATTAATAGAGAAGACTTTTACCATCTGACGGCAGGACCCCTCAAACAGCTCGCGATAATTTCGCTTCCCCTCAGTGGGCGTCATCGTAAAAGCTTTATTCCTCGTGTAAATGTCGGAAAAGTTCTCAACAAGTGTCGATATTAAAGGAGACGTATTTTGGAAGGATTTTAATCTTCTCTGGCTCTACAACTAAATCCCATAGACGAGCAACACGCGGAGATGTGTTGAATACGACTGAGAGAGTTCTTTATTTAATCGCAAATCAGTGACTAAAACTTGAAATACTTCTAGCGTGTTCTTGATTGTTTCCAATCATTAATTTTATAAAATCGTCATTGTCATTTAAGTAAATTGTGATATATTGTTAATAATTTACTTTCTTGTATCACTTAATGATTGTATTACGTTTCTTGATTTAAGTTTCCAAATCAATTTTTAGTCTATCAGTTTTCTGTTTTCGTTTTATTTAAATATTTTTTAATGTATTAATATAAAACGAAACAGAAAACTGATTGTCTAAAAATTGATTTGGAAACTTTTATATAGAAATTTATTTTCTTCTTAGTTAACTGAATACCACAACTTCAAAATAATTCAAGTGACACGTTTAAAATATCTCCGCGTCGTCCGCGAAAGTAGGAAATTCCTTCGCGTTCTGTAGGATGCATCGAAAGATTCGGAGTGTAGTTCAAGGTGCGGTTGGATGTCGTGTGCTTCCTTTGCTAAGGATGCTATTTGTGTGTGCACGGGTCAGCGGTGCAGAGAGTGAGGGGGCTTGTGGTGTGCAGGGACGCCCTCACAACGACGCTGTCGGCGCTGTACGGGAAGCTGCTTGTGGTGATGGGCATCGCCTTCCCCATGGCCGAGGTCATCTCCACGCACATCCCGCCCTCCTTCTACGAGGTGAGGCAGCCCGCTCGGTCAGTTCCGAGGATTGGGAAAGGAAAGTCAACGAACATCTCATTCGTCAAGTGCATGCTACTCATTTTACAGAGTCATACACGTTTTTAATTACGTTTTGTTATCAAAAGAATCGCTATTTTATCATATTATCATTTTATTGATTTGTTTATCTACTTTGTAATTTTATGGCTATGTGCTTCTTGTTTTTCTGTTAATTGAAACGAAATAATATCCTACAAAAAATATTATATTGCGCGAAATTACATTGTGGTGTTACAGTCTTCAACAGCAAACATGTTTCAAAGATATTTCTTCATCATCAGTGTTCCCTATTATTGCTTCTGTTTCCCTATCCAATATGCAGTTGCCAAAGATTCTGATTACAAATATATTTTTATCAGTACCTACTTTTAAAAGTGTAATTTTTTTGCCGAAGGGAAAATACTTACCTTTTGCAACATATAACAGTATGTATTCTATTATTACAGTTGGCAATTACGTAAGCATAGTCATCCTTTGATTAGCTTTTCGATTGTTAGATCTAACAGTTGATGACATTAAGATTAATGGAAGATTTATACTTCGTCTTGCTTAATGTATCTCTGAAAAATAATGAAAAGGTATGATTGTTCTCAGTGATAATTATAAACTCTGAATTGTTAAGTAGCATGTGTTGCTTTAATAACACTTGAAATTTAATCATAAAAATTACAATAAAGTAATCAATACTTTTTGGCAAAAATGTTGTACAAATTGACAATCGTCTAAATTCACTCAGTGACTCGATCACATTTATAAACACATTTCTTGTACAATTGGTGTTTCGGGGTAGAAATTGGGAATGGGCGTTTAGTTTCTCGAGTAGTTAGCGAGTAAACTCACAGGTTGACAGAGAGGAGATTGCTCTTGAATGACCTGTCTCTTGAATCATATAATTCGTGCGAAATATTGGAATACATACTTTATATTATAAGATATTACTATATAATTGATTTGCCACATTTCAGTCTTTAAGTATCGTCTGGAACACTTTGCATTACAGGGTTTCTACCTGTACTTGTACTTCGGAAGCATGGCTTTTCTGATGTACATGTATGCGATGCTGCTACGAGACCGTGCCAGTTTAACTGTCGTCAATTCCTTTAGTGAGTATAAACTCAAATTGTCTCAAAACTTTAAGCAGACAGTGATTTTTTAATATGTAGTGTAATAAATGGAATAATGTTTTATTTGTATTACAACCATTCTCCCAAAAAACGGAATCTACTCTTCAGAGTGTTATATTGAAATGTGAACTCGAAAATTTCACTTGATAGTTGATTGACAATAATCTTTTGAAATAACCCCTCTGAAATTACAACTTTCCTGTGATAGACCGTGACTGCTTGTGTTTTGACGCCTAATTTAAACATTGTCTTTGCCTGCCTTGAAACGAGTTGCCATTTTAGTTGTTCCTAAAACTTTCTAACTAATCAGACGCTCACCTACATTTTCAAATTTCTGTATCCAAAAATTTAAATGACGTATACGTCTACACATAATTTCATATGCTTAATGAACACTCGTTTTTTATTAATTATGAAATATTTTTTCATTCTGTATACTGTGAACTAACAGTACAAAACTCTTTAGCTTAATCAAATTTACAAACATGGAAGTTCACTTGAAGGAGAAAGTTTATGGATGGTGCCACGGGGTGGATACCTAAGTCCTCTGACTAAGCACGTGCTTAGGTCTCCCAACAGTTAGGAGGTCTAAAATTCTTTTAAACAAAATTTTTAATTGTTTCGTAAATATGTATAATTAATTTAACTATTTTTATAACCGACTTGCGAAACATAATGTAACTAATTCACAATTTAAATAATAGATTAGGCAAGTTTTTAAAAAATCACTGCACAAGAAGGTTGACAAAAAACGTTTATATGCAGTTTATGTGATGTCTCACTATAAATGTTAGAAACCTGTAGGCATTTTAGCTTTGCGTTACAACGTGCCCTGCAAAATATCAGCGAATGAACGGATGCCTAATTATCAGGGGCAGATAACACATTGTAACATCTTTGCTGTCTTTCAATTTATGAAATTTGCCACCATATATTCATGGACATAAATTGAACATCTTCAACCTCCCTACACACCCTAAAACTTTGCAACATTAATTCTGAGACAATCTGAATGCTGTATATATTATTGTTATGATAATTGCGGCAAATGTTATAGTTTTATTTACCTACACATTTTCTTTACGCTAATTATGACTTTTAAATATTTCTAAATTAGGAGAGAGCCCATTTGTTTGCTCATATAGAGGACCCCTTCAGAACCGACCTTCAGGGCATCAATTCAATACTGTGCCTCTGTCCTAGAGTCCGAGTCCCGACGGTGGCATTTTCGACACTAGCTGGTAAGTTAAGTGGAATTTGGTCGTTGTCTGGAGGAGAGTTCTAGCGGCCGGCAGGTCCTATTGGTAGTTTTCCGTGGTTTTTCCGATCAACACTAGGCGAATACCAGAGCAGTACCCTAACAAACAGGCCACGGCCCTCGCGTGTTCTTTCATTTCTCTTCCTTGCCCTATCGTCTCCCCTTACTTACACACACCTATACTTACATGCACTACCCTATTACACATGTCAGGATACTAGTCGGAAGCTTAGGGTTTGTCCCACCTGTGGGGGTTCACGCTGGTGGGAGATATCTCGATGTGGAAAACCCCGCAAGCATCTTACACTTCGTAAGATGGCGCCGAATTTCACCAATCACCGGGGAAAGATCACCGCCACCTCCAGAGATAAAACATTCATTATACATCACTATGACACTCCCGGAAGCACAAAATTAACAATGAATCATAATTAGGAAGGAACCCACTTGCATGTTCATGACATGTCAGTGTATTCATCCACTGCTGACGGTCCTCAGTGGCCGAGCAGCGCGTGTGCGCCGCAGAGCGAGTACATGTACGTGTATGTGTGTGTGTGTGTGTGGGTGCAGAACGAACGCGCGAGTCGTCGGTGTCGCTGGAGTCCGGCTCGGAGGAGAGCGGGGAGACGCGGCCGCACACCGACACGGAGCTGAGCACCACGGCCACCGAGGGGCCGTACCGCGGGGGTCCGGGCGGCGCGGGCGCGGGCCCCGGCGGGCGCGGTGTCTCGCCCCTCGCCTACGCGCAGCACCACTACGGCAGCTTCTACCTGCGCATGGGCGCCGTCGGTGAGTGCCCCAGCACCATTGTACTCGATCGCGTTCTTGAGAACGCGGCAATCATTACGTACTTGCAAAGCGACAGGATATCCCCAAAATGAGGCTTCGAAAATTAAAATTGTATTTCGTTAAGATTCTGAGAGTATATATGTATGTATATATGTATGTATATGTATGTATAAGTATGTATATGTATGTATATGTATGTATATGTATGTATATGTATGTATATGTATGTATATGTATGTGTATATATTTATGTATATATTTATGTATATATTTATGTATATATTTATGTATATATTTATGTATATATTTATGTATATATGTATGTATATATCGATATGTATGAATATGTATGTATGTATGGCTCATGGCTAGCTCTTGGTCAGCGTGCTCGCTTTCCACTACGCGGTCCGGGCCTCGATTCTCAGTCGAGCCACGACTATAGTGTGCGTTTTTCTTGCAATGTCCCAGTATATGTTGCTGGGTGACGATGAGAAAATTTACTTCTCAGGTTGAGAAGACCGGAATACGGAGTGGGGATGTGTACGTGCTAACCACACGCCCCCTTGACCCACGGCCGCGAGGCAGGGACGTCGCCGGTAGGACTGAGCGCGTTCACGGGCTGTCGCGCAAAGTTCAAACATACATATATGAATGTATGTATTTGGCGTTTTAGGGTAGGATTAATCCAACTTTTTCTAGCTAGCGGTGTTATGAGGCTTGGTTCTATTTTTATTATATATGCCTGAGGGATAAGGGACACAGGTGTTCATGAAGTATTCCCATCGGCGTACATAGGTCATTTGGCCTGCCTGATCTTTATTCTTTCTTCACATTGCTTGAGAAACTGGATTAGGTTTTGGGGTTATGTTATAAATTATTGCGAACCTTATTTCGGGTATTTTCTGTCATTTAAGGAATTATTTCTAGAAACATAGTTTACAGTGCTGAATGTTAATACGAGAGAGTTGCGAATTAAAAAAAAAATGGAACCTGGGGCATGGGGGAGGGCAAATAGAATAGCGTACCGTAAAATCAAAATTATTTCCACATTTCAGGTTTTCACGAAAGCCACAAAACGAGGCTTTTGTTGGCCTCTGAACTTGTTACACAAAGAAAATGTAATCTTATTTTACAATAGCATGGGGGGTTCTTATATACCTTTCTAAAAATGTGTTTACTTTTATCCAGAGGGGAGCAACGTACCAATTTTCGACAGTCAGACAACGAATACCATATGCGTTTTAAATAAGAAAAACCTAACATTCAGAAAGAGTTAAAAATGTGAAATAGCTTGTTAAATTAGGATGTACGCCGCAATTATTAAAAAAGTAAACAGGGTTTGCGGTCGCAGTCTCTGAAGGGGCACTAGATATTCGGAATCAATAAACAGAAGCAACTGCAAAATTGCCTTTCATGCAATTGGCAATCGGCACTGTCGGATGGCGAACATCAGTGAACGGTTTTTCTATTAAACTGAAAATATCGAAAATAATTTCCCGCACTTTTTGTGCCAATCTACTGACACGTAGATTTAGAACTTAGCTTAAGTGAAAATTCAAGTAATAAAAGGCTATGTAACTACGTTTTGCTTCTAAGTATTATTATGATAAAAAGTAACAAATTCTACCATATAAAATATCAGGAGTGGTATTATTGTTCTCTTGAAATTTTATGTTTCATAATTTTGTTCCAAAATAGGAACTTTATTATTATTATTATTATTATTATTATTATTATTATTATTATTATTATTGTTATTATCATGATTACAGTTGAGGTCAGCATAAAAGTGTAACCTTTCTGTAATCTCCATTTTCTGTAAATAACATTGTATATTAGGACCTCACATTTCTCCCCTTAACGAGTGGAGCTGTCGTCACCGCTGTTATAAAACCGGGGACAGAAGACTCCGCCACATAAGTGTATTCCGTGAAGTGGCCGTCCATTTCCTGAATCACCTCTGAAAAATTCTGAACAGCTTACTTATTCACTGCCTTCACCCCTGAAAAGGGAGAGGGATCTACTCAGCAGTTGGAATACACAAAGCGAATCCCTAGACAGTGGTCTGAGGGCTATATTCAAATGACAATATTCCTTACTTTTGCTGCATTTAATAAAAAAATATATAATCAAAGTGGCTGGAAGACTGAATAGACTGTATTTTGTTAATCGGTTTACTGCACACTACATCTTCTGCTGCTCTTACAACCTTGAGACAGCTGATTGTGAAAGTTTCTTCTTTATCTGCATATAAACATATCTTGACATCTAATTTAAACTATCATAGCAAATGTAACTTGATTGACGTGAAGTGGACTCCTCTTCCACAAACTTTTCCTTCGTGGTCCAATCTACATGTTTCGTGCTAAAAGTCCACTAACAATGCTACCTGGAGTATGCGGTTTTTCTCCTTTATTGAAACTAGAAAAGGGAATGATGACATGAACTTTGCATTAATTAGTAATTGGTTAGCCTTCGCTTTGAAAATCCACGAAATTAATCTCGCAAATATTTTCTCGTGTTACTAACGTTAAAACTGTCATAATAACGAAAGCGACTAACAGCTAATGAGTTTCAAGACATGTCAAAGATTATGTATTGATAACGAGTATCTTCAATTAATGATTATTAGAAGAATAAATTATGAAAGATTTTAGAGAAAAAATCCACGTTCGAGAAGATCGTTTAAAATGTTCGTCGCGTGACTTTCGATGTGCGCCCATCTCGCAAATATTTTCGCGTGTTACTAACGTAAATGTAATAACAGCGTAATAACGAAAGGAGTAACAGCTAAAATGCCTCATGAAATGTCAAAGATTACGTACTGATTATGGGTATCTTCAATAAGTGATTATTATAAGAATAAAATACGAAAGATGGTAGATCAAAAATCCACGTTCGAGAAGATGGTTTGAAGTGTTCGTTGTGTGACGTTCGCCGTGCGTCCATCTCGTAAATATTTTCGCGTGTTACCAATGTTAAAACTGTCGTACTAACAAAAGCGACTAACAGCTAATTAGTCTCAAGACCTGTCAAAGATTATGTATTGATAATGAGTATCTTGAATTAATTATTATTAGGAGAATAAATTATGAAAGATGTTAGAAAAAAAATACACGTTCGAGAAGATCGTTTGAAATGTTCGTCGCGTGACTTTCGATGTGCGCCAATCTCGCAAATATTATTGCGTGTTACTAACTTTAAAACTGTCGTAATAACAGCGTAATAACGAAAGCAAGTAACAGCTAAAATGTCTCATGACATGTCAAAGATTACGTACTGATTATGAGTATCTTCAATTAATGATTATTATAAGAATAAAATACGAAATATGTTAGAGAAAAAATTCACGTTCGAGAAGATGGTTTGGAATGTTCGTCGCGTGACGTTCGATGTGCGCCCACTGTGCGAGTGGGGGCGTTGCGGCTGCTGCGGCTCGGTCGGAGCCTATTGGGTTTCCGCGCGCGAGCTGCAGATAGGAGGGGGGAGGAGGGGGCGAGGAACAACAGTCTCAGTCCAGCAGCTTCTCCTGCTGACACCTTCTACATGCCTTCTGCGCCCGCCTCGGGATCTGTGACGTTTGCTCAGAAATATGAGTCTAGGAAGAGCACGTGTTGTTTGGATGCGTCACCTTCCCGGAGCTGTCTCCACGTGGAAGTGTATTCGAGATCGCATATCCCGAGCGCCTTCGCGCGGTCGGGAGGGCGTCGCACTTTCGGAACGAAGGAGACTTCCTACGTTTTAGGAGAACTTGATATCGATCAGCACATTTTTAACATGGTTCTTTAAATGGACTTGCGTTTAGATATCGGGGCTATTCAAAACACATTACAGTAGGTATAACTGACGAATATAAGTTAGATTGATGCTTTTGACCGTGGTTGCCTTCGATGAAATAGGTCTTATTCAGAGCACAAGAAATTCCATTTATATTAATTCATTCCAGAAACGTAAATATATATTCATAATGTGCCCAAGTAATTCACATAGATCTATTGAAGATTAAATTAAATCCCTAATTGATATGTTTTCAACTTTAGTTTATATTACTTGTCAAGGTACGTTTCTATACATATAGAGAAGACAATTATGCAATCAGCAGTGTATGACAATGCAATACATTCTGGACATAATTATTTTCTTTTCCTAATAGACGTAGAATACATAAATACATGAGAAACTCTGGGTATTCTGGATGATGATTTATACTATTTTATTCTGTCAAAATAAATATAAATGCACGGAAAAATAACGTGGTGAGTACCACACAAATATTCCTAGGAGAAACTCAAACCTAATTTCTATTTTCGAGGCCAAGGAACAGAAGGGTTGTGTACTATGAAAATAAAGGTTTCTGCCTATACTACTTTTACAAGAAGAAATTTATTCTACGTACTGAAATCTATTTAAAGCTTGAATCGTTATCCTTACGTTTTATTTGAAATATAATTATGGTTCTACTATATTCAAAATCAAGACTGAACGGCATAATTTGCAAACTTGCTTATAAACTAACATTCTTGTTTAGGAAATTGCACGCCTTTTTTAATTAATCATGAATTCATAATATAAAATAAATATTTGTCTTTATTTACATAACAAAGTTTATATACTTGGGTAATAGTTGATACCTCACAGTTCTTTTCTACGCATGTATCTGAACTGCAGTTTAAAATAATATATACAGCTGGAAGAAATGAAAAGTATTTAATAAGACATACTTTGTTAGCAATTCAAATCTATAGAGTGCCACAAAGGTTAAGAAGGGAATCAGGCAGATTGATGTCATAAAAAAGATCCTAGAATACAAAATATTGAAAATCTCTAAAAAAGTTAATATAGAGGAATATGATGCCCAGATACCCACTGACTTTAAATGTGCAACAATAATCGCGTGTACGTGTGTGCTGATGTTGGTTGAGTCGCCTGTGAACTTGTCTCGGGCTCGTCTCGAGTGAATGGCGTTGCGTGGTTGTTGCAGCTTTCGGCATCGGCAGCATGATCTACTCGGGGCTGGAGCTGGGCCAGTACTTCGAGCTGGAGCGCGACACCAAGTGCCACAACGTGCTGCTGGCGCTGACTCCGGCCACGCGCATGGCCTTCATCTTCATCCAGATGTACTTCATCTTCCTCAACAACGAGGTCAGTCTCTACTGCCCACCCGCCCGCGACGCTCGACACCGCGCCTTGTCTTGTGCATTCGATGTTTAGTCCGGCTGTGGTAGCTCAGCGGCAATTTTTACGAGTACGTAGTTTCCTTGAGTGGGAGGTTGTTCGATTCAAGCCCCAACAGGGACAGATTTTCGATTCTAGCAGTAAAGCTCAGTAGTTTTCCATGGATTCTCCGATCAACATCAAGCGAATGCTCAAGAGAATCAAGAAAACCCTATTAAGTGGGCCGCGGACAACGCGCGATATTTCCTTTCTCATCTTCGTACTCTCTTCTCCCATTACACACACATACATACACTTACATACTTGCCCTGTACGACCAACTGATCGGGTCACCAGTCGGGAGCCTAGTCCATGTCCAGTCTGGTGCAGTACCCTGCTTGGGGATATATATGGAAGGAAGCCTACGTGTAAGTCAGCGCATGATGGCACGTTTCAGCAGGAGAGAGTCACTACCAACTTTAGGGATATAACAAACACTACATTTACGGTACTCATGAACAAAGTAGTTCCTAAGTAGTCCCAAACCCCACAAAAGTCTCGGGCGACAAGACTGTAATTAGGAATCTCATTCAAGAGTAATTTTAAAGTGGTTTATGTAATTAAATTATTTTATTAACGCCGAGCTGGATTGGCGAGGCGGCTGGTGCACTCAAGGCCTAAATGAACTTGTGCAAATGAGAATTGGTGTGAGTACAGACGTATCTCTTGCTTGTGATTTGCGTTTCGCTCGCCCACGCATTGAGCTGTCTCTAGAAAAGAAGTTTTATTTTTTATTTTTTGTTATTCTTCTTAATTGCTCATTATTGGAGAAAACTTACACTAAATGGAACTAATCTTTATCTATATGTTTTGCTAACAATAATTACCAGGCTACAAATATCTTTATTAGGAATCTGATTTACCCTTGATCTCTCCAAAAGGAATGTTTCTTTTCTTACATTAGAATAGTTCTGTTTGTGGCTTTCTCATTTCTAGATACAGCGAATTGTTAGGTTCTCCGCCTCAGACATGAAAGACAAGGGAGAAACATCCACACTCGCTACCCTCTTTTATATCCGCGACTATTCACTCTAAGGCTATTGCATGTTATAATGTTCTGCATCTACAGAAATCTCATTTTTTCTTCAATAGAAAATTAACTCGTGTATTGCTTATTATGCACGCCATGCTCAGAGAAATAAAATTAAACTTTGAACAAAATCATCCTTCGTGTTAGGTATCTAACATTTACATTAACACAAATTAAATGGTAACCTATTTTTGATGTTTACAGAAGCTTATTTCCATCTCCTTTTATCACAACACAATAACAAAACTGTGTCAGCACGCAGCTACGAGCTTTGCTATTCAGAGCGCAGGACACGAGGAAAAGAGAATGACGAATGGAAACTAAAAAAAGGCCACGCGCGGCCGAGGAGGCGATGTGTTGGAAGGGACGGGGCCCGCGATACAACACGCGGTGCCTTTCAAAGAAGTATCCCGCGCGGAATAGCTGAGCACTCGCCGGCAGCGGGGAGGGGGGGGGGCGCCGCCTTTTGTTGTTGGCGGCGGAAGTGCTGCGGAGAGGAAGCGGAGTGGAAGTTCCGTGCGGAGGGGAGCCAACTCGGCTCGTTTTCTTTAACGGTCCCTCTCCGTGTAATTCCTGATTGGTCGTGTAGCGCCGACCAAGGAATTCAAATATATGTTCGAGAAGTGTTGTACTGCTGTGGGCAAATGGTGTAATGAGAGGCCGAGTGCCGTGTAACGGAGTTGCGTTGACTGTTAGTAAAATGCGTAAAGGGGTGGTATTGGTGATGCTGTCTGCAGGATGGTTCAGGGGAAATGTTACAATCTTCTAGGGCTTGCAAAGGAACCAAAGAACATGTAATGGGAAATCTAATAAAGATCATACCCAACTGCTATTTTTGACAGACCCATAATTTCTAAGCAACTCAACGTGCATTGGTGTTTTAATGTACACGAACTCTCATTGGACGGCTTACTTACTACCCGAAATATTGCTTACTAGCCGAGACCCTATAGGCTCTAGAAGAGAGTGACATACATTACAAATAATCTCTACATTCGCTCTTGGAAACGTGATCTGAATTAGTGGCTGTCGCTTATCCTCGTATGCAAACCATTTCGCAAATCCGACTTCAGCATGGTGCAATTGAAGTTAATTTTAGTTGCTTATGCTAGTGGTATCGTTAAACTTAATAACTCCTGGAAGCAATTCAATCGTAACATCCTCCTTTTGTCAGAATGTGGCAAAATGTGGAATGTGGCAGAATGTGGCAATTTCATTGGCGTATGGCAAGGCGTGTTTGTCATAAATTCTTTAGAATTAATACTTCAAATCTTGTTTAGTATGTTTTAAACTTTTCCCGCACGGTTTGAGCGCATTTTTGTCAGGTGACATCCCTTTGGCGTTGCCTCTCACTTCCCTTTCCTCTTTCCCTACGATCTGCCAAAATAATTAATTCCAAGAGAAGAAAAAGTGAAATAATAACTTTTTACGACGTAATGAAATCGCATCATTTCACTTTTGGTGTTTGCTTAATTTTGCATACATTGAGAGGTTTATTCAGATTTTCTTTATTCAAATCCTTTTTAAAGTTCAACGTTTCGCCGTTCTGTCCTCTTTTGTAAGAAAACTTTTGGAGAAAATACCACCACCAAACGGTAAAAGGGGAACGACACTGGAAAAGGAAACGCGATTATCCTAATGTAAGCGTGGCTTCATCTTAATGTTAAGTTCATCACTGTCGACAGGCTCTATAGGGGATGTGGGCGAATGCCACTGTTGAAAAGTAGAGAGTTGAAGTCGACACGCATTTGCTCTAATATTCAAACCGGTTGAGACAGCTCAGGGCATCAACTGATGTGCGTTTGATCGGGAAGTCATGGGGTTCCAGCCCCGATGGTAGCAGAATTTTCGACACTAGCTAGATCGGTAGGTCGAATTCAGACACCGGCAGAAGAACTCTTTCGGCCGGCTGCTCCGATCGATATATTTCCGTTGTTTCTTCAATCAACACCAGGTAAATTCCGAAACAGTACCCTCACAAGCGGGATTTGAGACGATCTCGATATTTCTTTCCTTTTTCTTGTTCTATCCTCACCCCTTACTTCCATATAATTACACTTTCATGCACTACACTTTCACAAATATCGAGAGAGTAGTCGGGGGCGGGGAAGAACGGGAAAGGCAGGGGACGAATACTGCTATCTCCCGTGATAAAACATGTACTACACTTATTGAACTAATGGGCATAGCAGTTGATACACCCAGAAACACGAAAAAATGAACATGCTATAACAATACAATGGCACTTTGTTAGAGCCCAATGTGCGCCTTGGTCTGTCATTTCTCGGATTAGAAAAGACAAGGTTGTGGACTTAAGGAAATTTTATAGGAGAGCATTTTCAAAGTTTGGAGAGGTCTCATACTGTACGCAAGATGCTTTGTCACATCGTTGTTACGTTTTCTAAAAGTGTTTTAGTACGTCGTAAATCTGATAATAGAGAGTTTGAATTTGAATAAACCGAATTTTCTCCAAAAATGACAGATTCAAACTTGTCATTCTGCAGCCGCGGTCTGTGTTCTCGCCGTTCTCTCGTGGCTCGTCTTCATCACGAGGGATGAATGAGACGGAAACTGGGATCAGCTCATCGTCTGGCCAAATAGTAGGAGTGGGCGCAGGATAGAGGAGGATGAGGAGGAGGAGGATGCACTCTGGTAAAATGGCCAATGGAGCAGCCGCCCTCTGCCAATATCAGCTATTTAACCCAGCTAGTAATTAGCAGCTACTTAGCTAAGGCGGAAAGTTCTCAAACCACGGCTTGACCCTAGGTTCTTCCAAACTGCGAAGCTTCATGGGGAGTTTGCATATACAAATGCAATTAGTGAAGTTTGATGTAACATGTTACGCTTACGACAGAGCTTGCTTGCAGTCGTTTAAACGGAGACATGAATCAAAAACCTGAGTAGTTGACATTGTTAATTTTAACATTTTCTTGTTTTCTGAATAAAATAATACATATTTAATTGTGAAATGAAGTTTTTTAACATCCTTTTGTTATTTTCTTACTTCATGTGCATATGTCAATATGGCGGTTACAATCTTTAATTTTCGTTATATCTTCTGACGGAATTTATTAAGAAGAGTCTGCTTTTCACTAAATACTAGAGGAAAGTTTATTCCTTAATTCTGTTTGCGCTGCAAACTTTTCTTCTACGACTACGTACGTAGCAAACGTGTTTTGTTTACTTGTTATCATGACGAGATGGCATTTCGTTGAAGAATTAACTTTGACGTTGTTTTCTGGAAAAATATACGACTCAATAGTCGTACTCACTCTATTTTTTGTAGGAAGTCAATTAAAGAATAATACATATATGTTAGCAAATGATTATAGTAATTTTCATACTTCTGGATTTCTACATAAAAATGTAGAAAAAAATACTCAATTTAAACATTTGAAGAGAGTCACATCTGATCATATTCACTAAAAAAATATTTTGAACGAGCTGCTTCTAAACTTTTACGTTAGATTGAAAAGTTTAATGAACAATGGTTCAAATGTGCAGCCAAATTAACCTGGGAGAAATAGGGCTTTATACCTCACCTCAATAAGGAAGCGAGGCTTGCGCGTAGGCCACGCAATGCAGCGTGCGTTCGCCTCCGCGCACCGCGCCTCAAAGCGCTCGCGCGTCAGGAGGGCGTGGCCCGACGAGGCCCATCCGTCGTCGGTCGTCGCGCCGCCTGGCAGCGCCCCTCGGCCGGCTGCGCGCCGCCGCCCGCCACACCGCTTTCCTTTTAAAGCCCCCAAACATCCTGCCGCACCACGCCGCGCCGCCGCCACGTAAAAATACGGAATCCCGCGCGCCCCTGGCCCACCCGCCTCGCATCTGGATCGCGTCGCCGCCGCCGCCGCCGTCGCCTCCCCCGCCCCGTCGCGGCGGTGCAGGCGCCGCCGATGCAGCCGCCGCCGCGGGCGACACGCAGCGTAAATTACGCCCCAACCAGCGCGCGCGCAGAGCTATATCTGGACGGGGGACTTCACCCCAGCACTCGCCGCCGCGCACTCGGGCCATTGCGGCTCCGCAACAGAACACTGCGTCTCGTGAATGTTTGTGTTGTGTCTTGGGAAAACAAATCGAACATTTCGATAGTTGAATTGGTGTAGTTTGAAATGTGAAAAAAAAACTTTAATATTATCATTCACCCTCGATTTGAACACGCTACCATTCACCGTAGAATTAAATAACAATATATCTATATTTTATTAATCCTACTTTCAGTGATCGGTTAACTTGCGTGTTGTTCTGTCCGTCCGTCACCTACGGTTTGCACCATAGTCTCCCTTCATTGGGAAGCGAGGTATCTTACGGTGCGTCTCAATCTACTGATGGGGAACTGTCCATTTTTCGTATCTTTCTAATTCCTTTTACTCAAATAATATATATGTAGTTAGTTTTAAAATTGGATTCGTAGGCTTCCGTGGCCGGAGTCATTTGATATTTGTCTGCCCGGATGAGTCGCGTCAGAATCGGTCTATCTGATGTTTCGGCTGCTCGTAGTAGTATTCTGCTCAACAGTATAGCTCAGAAGAAGGTCACAACATGATGGGCAAAACGACAATTCGACTGATTATGACGGAGCGCATCCCGGACGGTCAAGTACCACTTTTAAGACTATTTAAGATGTCAGAAATGCCACATTAAGCCAGTTTATGCATGACAATTCTGAGGGATAGTTATGCGGAAACGGAAGGTTCTGCTCCCAAAGCCTCTTCGACCCAAGCGTCCGTTGAAGCTTACCCTCGTCGCCGGAGTAGAGGATCTTTCGAGCAAGCGTGCCTCGTGGGCGTCCCTTGCAGTGCCTGGATGTGATTTTCACTTTTTCTCCCGGATGTCGGTCTTTTTTAACCACAGTTTATCTAACTGTATCCGAACTGTCTGGTCGAATGATCGTAAGATCTGGTTTGGGTGAAAGATTGCTGGAGGGATTTAATTTTTCGATTACCTGACAAGGTTAGTTTACATGCCACAGGGGTGTAATGGCACACTAAAGATTTTCAGAAATTCGTTGATCCTGTAGCCGTCAACATGGATTGAAAACGCAAACTTTGGTTTTGGGAGATGGTGCTCATGTTCCAATATCTAGGGGTGGATTACGTTAAAAAATTAGAAAATATTTTCATAGTATATGATCATTTACTACTCACCATAAATAAAATGTTTAACTCTCTTGGTAAATTCTCCATTCAATATTTTGTTTTTTATACACTGAACTATAATATATTGCCTGTCACTGTGCGTAGTAAAGGAAAGTTAAGCAATAGACAGTATAAAGGGTGGAAAGGCGGGCGAGAACGGGGTTAAAGCGGATGAGAAGGAATGGGGCGGTTGTCCCGGATGGCGTGTTTTTTGGGGTGGCGCCGAGTAAAAAAACTTAAAAGACTTCGGTTCCAACCTTCCTACGACGTTGCATTAACGTTAGCAAAACATCTCCTCCCCGTTCATTACGAAATTTAGTTTTTCAGAGGCCCTTGAGGAGCGCCCTCGGCAACATCGGCTCCAACCCCAGCGCCGTTTCTGGGCGAAGGCTTTGAGCGCGGGGGCGAGGGCAAGGGCGAGGACGAGGGTGAGGGCGAGGGTGAATGCGTGACGGTGTGCGCGTCGTGTGTGTTGCAGCAAATGAAAGTGTACAAGCACCGCGCGCTGGCCCGCTTCGGCCTCATGCACATGATCGGCACCAACCTCTCCGTGTGGCTGAACGTGCTCGTGCAGGAGACCAAGCACGAGATCCTCACCTTCTACAACCCGGAGAACAAGACCATCGGCATCTCGCACCGCTTGCGTAAGTCAGCACTTCGCACGGCGTCTTAATGCTACTTTTCCCTTGCAGTAATATGCTTCTAATAAATTAAACTCAAATCTGTAGTTTATTTACCGATGCAAATACGCTTTCTATAACTTGAAAACGAAAATTTGTAGTTTTCAAATAACGCTAACAACGCTTTGTTGACCATGTAGAGACGAGTAGGAAAGGAATCCTGAGACTCAAGAAATCAGTTTATACCTCTCTAACGTTCGTCACATATTTTTAATATTTTGTGACGTAAATGCTTCAAAAGTGATGGTACGTACTTATAATTTGCGACTCAAAAACATAAGTTTTGGGGGTACTCAAAAGGAGAGATTTAAATGATACTATGTACCTCTTCTGAATTCGATCGAGGTATGTCGCAGCTATTTATGATTTCGTCTGTGCATATGCGCTCAGTTACGCATCTGAAGTAAGCCCGTGTAAGCTCATTGCATTAATAAAGAGTCGTGTTGTTGAAACATACAACTTTCGTTATAAACATCATATTAGACACGTTAGCAAGGAACATTCAGCTCAGGCGCGGATCAGTAAGCTACAGTAAACTCTACTTGCTAGCAGCTGTAGTGACCACCTACAAGAAAATCAAATGAACTTACATTTCCAATCTATCGAGGATGTCTCAGAATAAATGTTACAAACTTCTAGCATATGTAGAGGGGTCAAAATGAAAACTTTTCCTCATTAAAATATAGTGGGAAATTTCAAATGACGGAATTATATTCATTTATAAATGTGTACTTTGCCCCTGATTTTTAGGCAACTCCTTATGCAGATGTGCACAGAAGGTCACGTTCTGACAGAGTTAAGGAGATTTTATGATCCTACCAAGCATCTATCTGTTGATATGGGATTGTCTAGCAATTACAAGCATGCGTAAATGCATATACTTCATATATATATATATATATATATATATATATATATATATATATATATTCAATTGCCCCATGCCTGTTAATTGCCCAAAAATGATGATTTTGGTCGCCTCTTTATGCTCGAGATATTTGTAACGTTTCTTCTGAGAGATTATGTTATTCGTGAATCTTCCGTGAGCAGTGGAGTAGTCCTTGGCGGCCACAGGCAGGGCTTGAAGGTGGGCGTGTCCCTTGTGCGCAGCGAAGGCGACGACGACAATGGCGCCTCCGCTGGGCGGCGGTGGGCTGCACCACGGCAGCGGCGGAGGCGGCCACCACCGCGTCGCCAGGGGCCTCATCGGCCCGCACAACATCTTCGAGTGCCGCCGCACCAACATCATGGGGTCGCTGGTGCAGGACGCGAGCCCCTTCCTCTTCCCGTGCACCATTGAGTACAGGTACGCCCTCGCGCCTGCAGGGACTGCGGGGACGCGCACCAAAGCACGACCTTCGACGTGCAAAATAATAATTATCTTAGTTCATCTAGAGTGCCTTTAACTTTAGTAATAGTGAACCGAATCAGTTACACAGTATTTATTATTTGTTGTTACTTTCTCATAAAATATAATGGGAATATGTGCAATACGCTGTTCTCTATCTTTTTTTTCTCTCTTAAAAAGAGTGCCGTGTTGGGCTCGCCCTTTGTACACTACTGAATTTCTTCCGTGTACACTATACTGTAAAGTGAAAGAAACCGCACCTTATTTTTCTCACATATAAAAAACCTCCTAGGTTATTAAGCATTGGTATATATTTAAGGTAATTAAATTATAGGTATCGGTTCCACCCAACAATTCCAGACGGATACTGAGGCAGTGGCCAACATATTACCTCGCGCAATTCATTCCTACTTTCCTTTTACTCTTTTTCCTTTCAACCTTTCCTGATGCCAGCTTTAAGCTGATAACATGCTTGACTGGTCTCACATTAGGTACTGTAAATACGAGAGTACCTCTTAGAAACAACTGAGTCCGAATTGCAGTTTCCTCTAGAAGGGGACGTTGAATAATTCTTGGGGAGTCAGGACGACGATGAATTGATAAGTGGAACGAACGCATACAATCTTCGATTACTGCCATAAGAATTCTCTTGGGAAGCATGCTTTTTTTAATTGCCATTATTTGGACATTTGTAAGTGTGGAAATCATAAATGAGGTTCATAGATACTGCTTGTATCCCCGGCGAGAGCTTATTAATACTTTTATATTTTACTGAAATGTGTTAGCTTGTTATTGCCTTCGATAAGGAGCTCGATTTTCGCTGCGTTACGCACCTGGATCGAGGGAATCGGGGCTACGAGGGTAATATGTAAAGAGTGGAAATATGCTACGTTTTCTTGTGGAGGAAATAATGAGCGGGAATTATGGGATAGAAATATGAAAAGTCAAAGAGAGTCAAATTAATTTCTAGTAAATTGGTAAAGCCAAATTTTAAAATTAAATAAAAAATAAAATATTGTATCTACCACGGGGGGTTACAACTGGTTCTAATTATTTCTGGCAAAAAAAGCCCACTGGCCAAATAAGTATTTCAGCAGGGAACCCATAGGCTCTTGAGGAGGGCGATTCCCAGCATACTTCGCATGTTTAGAAAACCAAGAAGGCGCATGAATAATCAAATGCCAGCGTGTATGATCATATGTGTGTGTGTGCAGCCTGATCTGCGCGGCCATCCTGTACGTGATGTGGAAGAACATCAGCCGCGCGCCGCCCAGCGCGAGCGGCGGGCGCGGCGGCGGCGGGCGCGACGGCGTGGGGCGCGGCGACCTGCCGCACTCGGCCTACAAGCGCTCGCCGCACCACTACTCGGTGGACTGCGCGGGCGCGCACAAGGGCCTCTTCGTGGGCATCCTCGTGCTCGTGCTCACCATCATCTCGCTCATCCTCTTCTTCGTGCTCATCTCGCGCACCGACCTCATCGAGCTCGCCGTCATCGAGGTCAACATCTGCGAGCTCACGCTCTACACCATGGCCACGCTCGCCACGCTGGTGGGCATGATGCAGGTACCTCTCACCTCTCTCTCTCTCTCTCTCTCTCTCTCTCTCTCTCTCTCTTTCTCTCTCTCTCTTTCTCTCTCTCTCTCTTTCTTTCTCTCTCTTTCTCTCTCTCTCTCTCACACACACACACATATACATGTACACACTCACACAAGCGCATACAAGCCCCCAAATTCCGAAACAATGAGATACTCTGAAGATTGATTACAAAGAAATAATTAACTAAATAAGCGGACAGAAAGACTCATATTCCCAATCCCAATTCCCGTCTTTTTCTAGCGAGATCTACCGTCCTAATAATGGGAAACGATTAAAACTCACGGGGATCTTTATCGTGATTATTCGAGTTTAGAATACTAAGTTTTCAGCGCGCACTTTATTCACTTCCACCTGTTGGTTTTCATGTAACAAACAGGGTTTAGGGCTATTCCCTCTGAACCACGTGTAGTGGAACAGTAAACTTTCTAAGCTGAGATTAAAAAGTCTTCATTCCGAGAAGTGGAGGAATTACTTGGAAATTTTTGGGGATTTACTTGCCTACAATACAGGATTTAGGTACATTAATTTAGATGACATCGTTATAAAAACTTTCCAGACCCAATTTAAGTAAAAATCGCTTTTGTAAAAAATTATGTTAGAAGTTTTTGTTCAAATATTTTTTGTTCATTAAAATGCGCGACTATATGGATTTTAAAAAAAATATGGACGAAGTATTTATTTATATTCGCGTCATGAAATCTAAGCTACGAAAATGCCGACAATTGTTAATTGACATATTTTGAAATGTGCGGATATATTTGATTTACCGATCTCCATCCCCACCACTGGCCAACGTTGCATTAACCCGTTAGGCTCCCCTTTCGGAGGGTCGGCTTACCCCCCCCCCCAGGCAACCCCTTTGCGCGGCGTCGGTGCCAGCAATAAACATCACAACTTATGTACACTGGCGCCCGCGGCGGCTGGTGATGCTGAAAGGCTATGGAGTGCCTTACTCTACAACACACTAGAGCCCGTAAGTTCCTATGTTCATAGTCTCCTGACAAATGTAATACTCCGAGTGGCATGTTTCCTGGAAAAGAAATTGACTCATTCAACTCCAAATCTCATTGCAGTTCTGGCATTGTTCCAGTTCATTGCGCCTTGGTGTGGTGAATGAGACACTTGCTCAAGTACAATTATTTTATCGATCCACCGCCCCGTAATATCACGGTTTGATATTTACTCCCAGTGCGACCCAATTCTGTCAGTTTCTTCGTTACCTGAGTTCTTTAATAATGTTTTAAGAAAAATACAAAGTTCCTACATTAGTAAAATAAATGTCATACATTGATATTATTTTACAAAACATTGCAGTAGCACAGAATTGCTGCGGAAATAAGATTCATTGGAATAGACAACCTACACTTAGACATTGAAACGAACACCCCTAATAAGAAATTATAAAATGTCTGTTTTACAAGGACTATTACGTATTTTGATATTGATACATTTGAGAAATTATTAATATATTGTAAATTGATTAATAACGAATATCAGTAGTTCTGAATGTCTGCTTAATTTATCCATTTAGTGTTTAATTTATGACGTTCCTTATTCTCGCTGCACCCGATACATTTGCATCCAGTTTGTTCTTTATAAAATATACAAGACAGAATTGACAGCTCCTGAACAAAAAAGGCACTTGAATATTTTTTAACTAACACAATTACGACTTAGGCATGGCATCAAGTGCAGGTTAATCGGAGTTTCCTAACAGGATTTTAATGAAAACTGGACCACTTCAATTAATCATAATAATTTATTTCTACAAATGAGCGAACGCTCGATGTCAGTTAATTGAGCTTTATGTGTAGAAATAGTGATACGCAAAGCACGTTACACCGAATCTCATGATACGGAAAACAACACACGAATGCCTCTCTTCGTTGCGGATCCCTGCAGGCCGTCGGCGCGCGGGCGTTATGTGCAGGTCCGCCAACTGCGGTACGACGGCCACCGCAACCTGGAGCTGGACAACATCCTGCTGATCGGCGCGCAGACGGGCATGTTCATCTACAGCACCTTCACCATCATCGGCGGCCACTTCACCATCGAGAAGAACACGGTGCTGGTGCTGATCACGGCGCTGGCGTCGCTCGTGCAGACCACGTGCCAGACCATGTTCGTGCTGGACGCGTCGCGCCGCTCGTGCGTCACCGCCGACCAGATCCGGCGCAAGCCCGGCCGCGAGCTCGTCACCTTCCTGCTCGTCACCAACCTCGCCATGTGGGCCATCAACACGCTGGAGAAGTCGCGCGCCGAGTCGCACCCCATCCAGCTGCACTTCTACGGGCTGTGGGCGTGGACCATCATCACGCACGTGTCGATGCCGCTCGCCATCTTCTACCGCTTCCACTCGACCGTGTGCCTGTGCGAGATCTGGAAGAGGGCGTACAAGATCAAGCCCACCTACATGTAGTGAGGTAACGGCTGCTCCGGGGAGCCCGCCCCGCCGGTTCACACAGCCATTCACACAGCGACGTAGATGCGACTCCGTTAGCACGAAAGCGTTATTTTAGCTACTGCGATGTAGAACGATATTTTTTCACGATACACAAAAAAATACAAAGAAACAAGCTGAAAATGGTTTTGTGGACTCGAGCGGCAGGCGGCCTGTGCGCGGTCTGTTCGAACGCGGGTGTCCCCTGCAGCCTCCAGTTGTAGTCTGAACGTAGCAGACGCCAGGACGTCATCGCCTGCCGCGAGGGCGTCGGCGTCGGTGAAAAGTTCCACGTAGAGGAAGTGAACCGATTCACGCGTCATGGGCGCGTGCTTCTTACCTCTTTGGCCCAAACACATCCCTTTGCTTGCGCCATATCCTTTTTCACCCGAGCACCTCGCGCCTCTGATAGGGTATTACTATGAGAGAGTGCGGAACCTAAGGAAAGTGGAACGTATTTATTCATATCTATAGCCTTTTAACGTGTAACAAATTCCGTATCGGCACTAAATACGTGTGTGATCGTCGCGCTTGGTTGCAAGATGGCGGCGTAAGCGCACCCTGTCGCCGGTAGAGGGCGGAGAGGAGCTAAGAGCGCCGAAAGCAGACTCGAGCGGAGGCTTAAGTGTTGCGGGCGCGGGAACAGATGAGGTTGAGAGCCGGTGCCTGGCACGTGTAGTCGCCGAGGCGCTGCCACGGAGGGTTTTCTAGTGTTGGGAGGTCGAAAAGAAATATTATAGGTGACTCAACTCGATTAGCTATCGAGTAAATTAGTGGCGCACCCTAGGGGTTTAGAGGCTCATGGAGCTTCAGCCCCGCTCTGATAAGTCGCTAACACATGGTCACAAATATAGCTTTTACTAATTTTCTGGAGTAACGAAAGTCTATATATCATTGGAATACGCTACAAACAAATTGAAACCAAGAAATATAATTAATTTTAACTTCAGCGTAGAATAAATCTTTATCGACACTCATAAAAATAGACAAATCGACACTCCTAAAAATTTATTCTGAAAATCGTTCTTTAGAAATCGATTTGAAGAGTCAATGGGTCTGCAACCTCTTCAGATAAATCCAAAATTGGGGAACTTGTATAAACCATAATTAGGCAAAATCGATCTTTGGAAATCTCGAATCGCCTCGTTCAGCGTTCACTAGCTTGCTCGCACGCGGCGCGGTACTTCGGTGGAGTTGGAAAGTAAACGAGCTGAGTTTACGAGTCATTTTGCAGTTTATGCCCTTCCATCGGCGAGAGCGTTAACGCGGCGGAAGACGCCTCTAGGAGTGGAACGGGTCTGCACGTGGTTGGGAAATGCAGCACAGATAACGCCTCCGAACAAACTCGTTGCTTTTAGGTCGTGGAGTTTTATTTCTCACAGCGCGCAGGTTTTACCAATAAAAGCTTTACCTGAGAACGATACTTCATGCAAAATAATGTGTGACCTACAATTTTGTTGTTTACAGAACATGCAGGATAATACGCGAAGAACAAAAAGGTGTTTATTTAAAGCAGCCGTTATTATATCGCAACGACGTTTGTGTTCTTCGAATGTTCTCACATATGTTCTCAAGTCTTTCATTCTCTTGACAGACACGAAGAAACTTCCTCCCGCTGGTGACGGAAAATGTTCGTAAATTGCCGTAATCTACTTGCAGGCGTCCAAACTAGTGTTGGATAGGAGAATAATGATCGATTTGGAGAGGGAGTTAATTTTTTTGTCAATAAGATAGTTTTTTTAAACAATTGCACTACTGTACAACTACTTTTTCTTTACTAAACTAGGAAAATCTAAAAGTTGCTGACAGCTTTGCCAGTCAAATATTTTTTCCCTTTTCAAACAGTTTGTAAATTGACAATTTCATATCTAATTCTAAAATAGAACGAGTAAATAAGCGACTATTATAATGTACTTTTTGTATTATACTATTTTCTTATCTTCCATTAATAATAGGCTGCACTGTAGTAGCTAAAAGTTTTATTATTCGTGCAAGATTCATTGTGACAATACCAATGGCCGTTGGCAAAATTTCTATGCTCCGAAAATTCCAAAGTGAAAAGAGAGGGTAGAAAATGTTGTTGTTTTTGTTGGAGATGTTGGATTATCGGGAAAATCCTCCAACGCTGGTTTGCACCGACGGCTGTGTGTCGTCGTGTTCTTCGCCAGCTGCGATGGAAAGAGGCGCTCCCCAGGGACCCACATGGAGGGCCAGGCGCCGGCAGCGGGAGGCGAGTTGGACGTGACAATAATTTTGATGGTCAGCGTAGAGTAGCGTGTCAGTCCAATGTCTTCCCTTGTACAGCTCATCCTTGACAGGGAGTAGGCTATTCGAACATTGTGCATCACGAGTTTTGTTTTCCTCGGAAGATTTTTGCAAGCTCGCAAGTTAGCCAATCCACTTTCAATATTAGTACAAATAGAAGGACCAATATTATATACCTTCTATATCAGAAATAGTACGCTTTACAGTATACAGTACCTTGCCTCAGAAATATGATTATTACAGTGCCATTATTATACAACATATATGTCTGTTTTTACAGATACCTTAATCATATTCATAATCATGGGTTTTAATGTGATTCAATATACAAGTTTCTCTGTATTCTCCAGTATGGCAGCTTGAATAAGCTGCGAACATAAGCACTACATGTGTTCAGCATATATCATAGGATGTTTTTACGAAAATTTAGAAGTTAGGTCCAACAAGTTTATCTCGATGTCTTTCATCTAGATTTTTCTGATCTATATACAACTCCCCTTGTGTCCCTTTCGTTTGCCGCTTGTACATAACGCCTCGTAGTGTAGCCGAATGGGACGGTCGGCCCCCACGACCGCCTCCGAGTGTGAGACACAGGGCCGCATCGTGGACCCCTGCTCAGCACTCAAGTCTTATGTTGACACAGTGATATACTGAAACGGGACGAGCTCCACATTTTCTATTGTATCCCTTTCGCTGTTAATTGGGGCCAATTTTTGCGTAGCGTCATCTTGGCGATTTTCTTAAATTTTTCAGATCACTTGCCGACGTGGTTTCCAAACACACTTGTTGTAAACAAAAGTAGGCATTAAGATTTTTTCACATTCCAATAGCTCCCTCTAATTTATTTCGGGAGTGTTTTTTGTCTGACCATTGTAATATAAGGATATGCGTTTTTTAAACGCAATGTATAAAAAGTTTAGAACACCAATGGACCACTTTTAGATGTCAACTTACGGCAGAAGAATGACCCCGTTCATTCCGAATGCCTTCACGAGACTTTGCTCTTGCTTTATGATTTGGAAACCGCAATTTTACACCTTTATTGTCTTATTAAAGATTCCAAATATTTACAGATAGTGCAGTTTTTATACTCGGTTAAACCTCTTTAGGTCGGTCGGTCGGTTGTAAGTAACTCTCCCCTTAATGGTTGTCTAATTATTAAATAAAATTAAGCGTGTTATTCATACTCGTATTTCCCATCTAAAACACTGCCGCCGTTGGGGACCTTAAAAGGGTTTTACTGTACTTTATTATTGTATCACTGATTCAATAATGGCAGTAATAGCTTTGTCTTAAGCTTCGTTGTGTGAATCGTTCTTAATGTCTTTATACAGAGGGTGAAGGGTGAGTTACATTAACAGACTCTTTAGGAAAGGACTAGTTCGAAGAGTCGTATCTGATCTTATTGCATGCAATGGAGTTGCTTGTTCAGATATAAAATACCGTAAAAAACATTAAGGGATAAGAATAAGAATGAAAAACGCATCAATTACAATAACCGTTGAAATGAATTTCCTATTATTAAGCAACCGTTTTAAACAAAATATTTTGTTGTGTTTTTTTCTACATTAACTGAAGAATCCCGATTTCATTGAAAAAAATTAAAATCTTTGTATTTCTGTCAATCTTCTATCTATTTTAAAATTGATGAACGTACCTATTGAATTCTATTCGTTACATTACTTTGTTTTGTAACGTTTTTTTTAGTGAAATTTATAAATAATTTAATACTTAACATAATCAGCAATACCAAAGATCCTGCAGCCAAAATCACATGATCATTCAAATAAATTACAAAAATTCTTAACATCCCTTAATTTTTCGGTAGTGTTGATTCTCATCATGCGTGAGTGATGAGAAAGCTATCTCATTGTGCATGGAGTAGGGTTGATGCGAGACAGATTGAAAATATTACAGTTTTACATTAGCTTGAAGCGACCCTGCCTCAAGTCGCTGCGTTCCTCAAACTTAGGCGGCGCGAGCGTGTCTTCTACTTGCCTCAAGTTCTAGTGAGGTTTCGAAATATGTGCATTTAATACAAAATGGGCCATCTATTCTCACTGAGTCATGATATGGTGCTACGAGCGGTTGTGAAGACTGATGCATGCAAATAAGGAGTGTTTTGGTGACATGCTAGTTAGCTATTGTAGGTAATAATGTTGTTTGTGAAATGTGCATTAATTTCGGAACATTTTCGTCATTTTTCAAAGTAAGACTTCTGAATGAGAGAGAAGTATATTCTATTCTCATGGGCCAAGTGAGAATATATGCAATCGGAAGTATATTATCGAAACATGACGTAAAAATTTAACAAGAAAACGTTTGGATGTGAGCGAGTTTCTTCTATCGAGAGACTTTCAGTTGTCGCGGTGTACAAACTATCTAATGCAACGCCAATAAATATATCAAACTTTTGAGACTACTAACTGAGCAGGAAATCATATCGGCCCGCCAGCCGTCGTGCCGAATTCTGTTTGAAGTTTCCGCGTAATTCTGCCGAGGACGATGCCTTAATTTACGGGTTCCCCACGCACGCAAGTCAGGGCGGGCGTCGCGAAACTCGGGAACTTGAAGCAAGTTGCTCGCCAGACGCCATCGCCGCCGCCTTCGCGAAAGCACAGCCCGAATGGGCGTCGCCTCAGCTGTTCGCTTCGCACGTCCTCTCGCCCTCCCCCACCCCACCCATCCCCGCCCCTTCCCCTCTCTTCGCCATCGCGAGCACCGCGCCCCAGCGCGCCCGGTTTTCCTCCGCTAATACTCCCGCCCCGCCATCTTTCGACCTCCGCCCCGCCCTTTCCACCTCGGCCGAGTGCCCGAGTCTCCCATCACCTTATCAGCCAGGCGCCTGCGCAGATGCGAGCGACCATGGGCCTACGCACTGGCCTGCCAATAAAACACGCCGGATGGCTTTCACAACAAACTTTTTGTTTCCTCAACAGTTTCACAACATTAAGGACAGTACGTTGAGAGTATTATATGCAATGGACAGTTTAAAAAATGCTACTTCTGTCCATAACTTAACATCAATCCCCATATTTACCGTATCTAATAATTCCCTTTTCACAAGAGTAAACCCATATCGTATCAAACAATATCCCCAGAAAACCCGGGGAAAATCTATTTTAGACCTAATAATTGACAAATTAATTTACTTACTTCCAATATTTAGATTAATGCATTTCCTTATATGTAAATGTTACTTTCGGCGTATGTATTTTGAATACCTATCCTATCAACATAATTGCGACTCATTAAGGCTCAGACGAAAATAAATTTCTGGAACCGTTGAAACTTCTCAAACTACTTTTACAAATTATCACACTACTTTTTGTAAAACTTCCCTTGCTATAATTTTGTTCGATTTTTAAACAATATATGGAAAACATCACATTAAAATTTGTTTCAATTTATGAGCAGAAAAATGGTGACATTCTGAATAATATAGTTGTCAAATACAAATTCTCCCTTTGAGCATCTCTGCCTTTCTCCTAATGACATGTTGCTCAAAAGAGCTTTTCGAGGTCGTTAAAAGAGCGTTCTACAAGCCTCTTCTCTAGAAATCGAACGTGGTAGAAGATAGTAAAGGTAAGGGAGTATTAACGGGAAGTTAATTAGAACATCAGCACCGTGAGAAATTCAGTACCAAGCCATTTTCCCAATATATTGTGAGCATGTCCAGCACCTCTCCAAGCTTAATGCACTTCTACCGGAGATGGTGAAGATACCTTAAAGTTCCTTGTATGATATTAACAGGCGCCTCCATAATTTCTCTTTTCCTGTAAAATCAAAATCAGCAATTTTCAAAAGGTTAACCTGTTTTACAATGTTAATACATTATATTTATAATTTAAAATGAAGCGAAAGTTTTTATGAATACCAAAGTGCACACCAGAAAATAAACTGCAAACACAAAATATGTAACTGAACCCTCAGAAACCTTCTATAAATGTGATTTAAATACTCGTTTTAGTGTTCTGCATGATCAATGTGGTAATGTATTATGTGTACGTAACTGTTACATTCAAGTTCTCAAGTCCTTAAAAAACACTGACTTCTCTACGTTTAAATCCATCAAGGAGAACAAGTAAGCAATATTCAGGAATTCACCGCGTGGATGTCCTGTCAAACTCCACTTCCCCTTGAGTGTGCGCTGGCATAATAAATTTCATTAAGGCGCCATCTTCTTTGAGCATGCACTAGGCGACGACGTGCGGTTTGCCACGTGAGCTTGCCCACGAGGCGCACTTAACATCAGAAGCGGCAGATTTCCAATTCTCTCGCATCGACACCCCACCACCACAAACACAACACATCCCCCTTCTTCTCCCCCCCTCGCCGCGGGCGGAACGATGTCAGTCTCCGCCACCGGCTCCCACCCTCGCCTCATCCCCCCCTCCCCATCGCCTTGCCCGCCCCATTCTAATCCGACCATCACCCCATCACGCCCCCCTCTTCCGCCCGCCCCGCTTCCCAGCACCGACACCGCGTTTTATTTTTAAATTCAATATCAACTAAACGGCGACTCGCGGCGGCAGAGACGATCGTACAGGGGTGGAACGGGTGGAAACGATGCTGGTCGTCAGGCGGAAAGGGAGGGGACGGGGCGGGGCGGACGCCAAGCGGGGAAGGCGCCTGGCTTCACGGCCTTTGAGGCCCAGGCGCAACGGAAATTGAAAAGGAAGGCCCTGGAACTGCTCCGCGTAATGTATTCAGCGTCAGGCAGTCACGTGGAGGAAATATTTTCCTTCTCCTTCCCAAACTACTTTTTTGTTTTTGATATGTCATAAATGGAATAATATTCACGAACTGGAAGTGAAAACTCTGTTGTCAAATAGTTTCGTTTCAATTAATAATTTCACTTACAGATCCAGCAATCGAGTTATTTTCATTATTTTTTTATTTATTTGCCCTGTTTCTATAATATTGCATTTTCTCTTGCAATAGAACTCCCAAATTCGTACTCTGTATTCCAACATACGGCTGTATGTACTCATTTTCCCGGATGTTCTGGGTAAATTGTTGAAGCTCACGTCTCAAAAATCAACTTCTTCATAGATATTTCCATTATTTTTTATGTGTTTGCCATTTTTTTCTTAATATCGCATTTCGTCTTGCAATAGAAATTCCAACTACGTATACTGCATTCCATACTCCATACGACTGAATGTACTCGTTCCCGCGGATTCTCTGGGTAAAATCGTGGAGGCTCGCCGATTTGTCGACCCCTGGTTCGTCCTGGCTTTTGCCCTCGCCCTCGCCCACCCCTTCGCTGCCCGCGCTGATTGCCTCGCGGGCAATTGGGTAATGTCCGTCGCCGGCCGCACTTAACGAGGTCGCTAATAACTGTGATTGCCCCGCGCCGGCCTGGCGTCGAACCCTGCACGAGCCCAACACGTCGCTCTGCCTCGCACCGGCGCCGGCGCCGGATGTTACACTGCACGCAGAAAATTGTATATATCCTCTATAATTTCTTTAATTAAATAATTCCTACTGAACTAATTAAAATGAATTTGTTTATCGAATACGCATGAGTAATGTTAAGTGTCATTGCACTGAACCTATCGTTTTGTTCGTCTGATGAGAAAGTTAATGTTATTTTTCTTGGAACTACACTTGTGACATTCTGAAATTCGGAAATAGCACGAAATGATGTGTCTTCTAAATATACTATTCTTCAATACTCTGAACATTTTACAAATAACCAATAGAAGGCTCAGTATCCATTCGAAAGTAAAATAATATGATTTATTTAAATAAATGTCAGAAAATATCATTGCTATCTCAACAATTACTTCTCTCAACGATTATAATTGACTTAAAATCCTTGGCACCCTCCTACATCATCCATACATTCATGTGAACAGCTCTGGCGATGTCAACGGGCGACGTCAGCCGCAAAACAGAAAGCAGACTTTAGTTACTACGTCTTCCTGATCAACAAATTAGTACAAAACATATCTCCTTGGTGTATCGATACGTCAATCCCATCAGAGGGAAATCAATTTTCTCGCCGGCCAGCCGGCTGTCCCTAAGAATGGTTCCATGCAGGCTGGTTCGTAGGTTTTTCTCAAAATAGGGGTTATCTTTTGTACTTTTGAAGGTATTTATTGTTTCTACTATTTTTTTAATCGAAAAATCCATTTCTTTCTCTTAAGTAGTTTAATCGAAGTGTCGCGTCATTCACATTAGAAGAAGACAATAAAACAATTCTACACAAAATTACGAGAATGTCCCGAAGCTTCGTATATTAGAAATTCGGAAATTCTTAGTTACGTTGATATTAAATTTTCATGTTGGTTAACGTATTCACTTCGAATTATTAAGAATTTTTATTCCAGCACTAATGACTGATTTGACAATTTGAAAAGTTGGCCCAGATTTTGAGAACAACTCTCTTGTGTTCTTAAATCACCTCACCCATTCCTACACATTGAAAACCTAGAGACTGATGTACTTTCTAGCTTAGATTTTTTACTAGAAGGCAGGATTTTTTAAAAGAAGGAAACAACAATCCGAAGAATGTGAAGAAACAGGATCTGATTTCTGGAAATTATTTTCTTATAATGGTCTTGACTAAATGGATGCACAATACAGTGGGAACAAATTTATTTTAATAAGCCATGTTTCATAGGTTTCTTTTGTACGCGTTATCACAGACTGCCGTAGCGTGTACTTGAGCGCACCGACACAAAGCGGTATCTGATACATCGGTGCTGCCACAGCTGTAGAATAGTTTCGTCAACATGCACTCTGTGAGTACACCAGTAGATTGTAGTCAAATTCAAACATTTTCCTTTCCATTCATTTCCCAATCTGACCCTCAACCTGAAGCTTCTAATATTAAGTGTGAAAGTTATGCGGCGTTGCTATGAATAAGTTGTATGATAGCGAAGGAGAACAGTACACAGCACATATCGATGTAAGATTATCACCCAATGATTTATGTAAAAATTGGGTTGCTGTATTTAATGTTAATACTTTTTGTAAATAGTTTATCTTTTGACTGTATGCGTTTTGTGTAAAGTATTATGCTAGTTCCGTTCAACTTGCATTTATGAATAGCAGTAGCTTTAACATTATTGCAAATAGATTTTAAAGTTTAAAGTAGTTACTTTTAGCGCTCAGATGTTATCGGGTTGGCGGACAGGAGGTGGATATTGTGTTCGTTCCGAGTCATCGACGGCAAGAGCTACCGGAGCTCTCTAATGCTTGACGGATTGGTAACAAGCAATTCAATTCGACTTGTTGGAAACTAAGAAATGCGAACACTCTGTTCGGTAGAAAACATAGTTTTTTTAGTAACAGGAAACATCCATAAAGGTAGATTTCCTTAAAAATGAAACTATTTTGTCGAAATTCGCGTCGTCTCGTTCAGTATTACAGAGCGCGGCATTCTCTCGCCGCCGACCGCAAGGAAACCTCCTGTCCCCAGCCCCGGGGCGACGTCCTACCTGGCAGCAGCCCCAATTGCACATTGTTATTCATCGTAAAAGGTTAGTGCCATATCTATTGGTTGTACGTGAGGGTTGAACTTTTTGCAGATACAATGTGTTCACTTGGATGAGTTTAGAAATGTCTGTTATGAACTGTTAAGGTAGAAAATTATTTTCCCGGGTGCTACGCAATCCAGCCATTAAATATTCGCGAAAATCCTTTAAAAAAACACGTGAATCCGCTTGAAAGCTACTTTATCTCCGATTCTGTTGATTTTTTTCTCTCCAAATTTAACTTTTTCATGTAAATGTGTGGACACTAATTTGTGTTTGCAGCTCCGACACTCGTGCTCATCAAATTATGATGAAACGGAAACGAGAAATGTCATGAAACGGAGACTCACAGAACTTCCAACGCTTCAGTTAGTCGCTTCGTCGAGCGTGCGTACATAATCGGCAATTATCTGTCTGCAAAACATTTTGCTGTTTTAAACTATAAAAGTTGCAAACATCCATGTGGCTCATTGTAAATTTCATTTATAAAAAATCGTGTTCAAGTAAACCTGCCACTTTCAGCTCGAATTATCCATTCGTACTTATCTCAAGGTCGCCACAACACATTTGCCGCGGCTATCCGGCCCGGTTCAGAGAAATATTATCGGTTTTTGGAGTTAATTGAGATACAAAGCCCCAACCAATTTTCCAAACAGTTGTTGGCACAAACAATGGCGAGAGAGAAATCGTCATCAGAACGGGATGGGAGGATCTTTCTCGGCAGGTTCACTAAAAAATGCATTGTTATCCGCGCGTGGCGTCGCCGCGCCCCTTGACCTCGTTTTCCGATGCAGACTCTCTGCTCGCGCGGTTGCTTCCGAGGGGGCCTCTGTCCGAAGGCTCCGCGTTTGCGCGCCTGGGGCTGCAGCGGCCAACGCCCAGCTGTGGCTGGAGCCCTGGGTTTGTTTCTGCGGACAAGACGGAGGGAGAAATACCTTTCCACTTCCTACGTCAAAAAACAGACTCTTCCGACTAGGCCCTCTCGCTGCTTCGTCAAACTTGGTGTTCCTTTTTATTCTGTCAGATGTTCTAAATACTGCAAAGTGTTTTCTGTTGATAATGTTTATGTATTTATGCTCAACGTACGTAGTAAATTTTAACGAATAGAAGATATGTATGAAATGTTTATGTATATAGCCATTTAAAGCTATTATTACAATTATAACAATTATTAATGACATAATTCATATACAATATATATCCTGTGTAGAGGAAAGGAGTCTGAACCATAGACGCAATACAAAGCTGTTCAATGTGTTTTCCTAAGTGTTTTAAAAACGACGAAATCAACTTCAAACAGTTGCACTTCTTGTGAGGCTGAATGTGTTGTCAGAGAAATAAAAATAAAAAAAACAAATACAGTCTGTAATTCTGATACTTCCTTTATTTCTTGTGATTCCCTGAATTTAAAACATTCCATGTTCATTTCCTACACTAGTTTATGCAAAGATTTCACAACGTTGTAAGTGTATGTAAGATAAAATGACTCGTAATTTCCGTTCGATTACAAAAGACCTATTTTAAAAGAGAATGCTAATATTTCTTATACCGTTTTTTACTTTTTCAAATTCCTTTTCTGGGTTTATTAGTTAACTAAATGTGCTTTGCTTCAAATTCAACTTTACCTCCGTTTTCCAGTTCTCTGTATCAGTAGGTTGAAGAAACGATACTTTATCAGTTAGTACTGTTCTGTAACTTCACAATTTTGCTATTATAAGGTGGTTGTGTCGCCTTAAATTTTCGGTGTAGGAATGTAATCGCAATAATAGTAGCATTTTTAGTTGAGCTGTGAAATCCGTAGCGATAAGATCGTTGTCAAGACGTTTAAGTACTATTTCGAGTTGTGTCAAATCAAAGAATAATCTTGTTATTTATTCTTGTGATACATTAGTGGTCACGGTAATAATAGAATGCTCATTCTGTTGATTGTATTGTAAATGATATTTGTGATTTTTATATTTGAATTATATATCTTTAAAATATCTATTTTGTAACGTTCGGTATTGTATCAGTTTTGTAGAATTCTATTAGGTTAAGTTATCACTTTCAGTGCTCCGAAAAAAAACGTTTCCTCAGAATTCAAACATAAGTAAATCTATATTTTTATATAACAGACTCTCATCTCACAATTTACACCAGCACATCTGACCAATTCATTAAGTTTCATGACTAAAAAAGGCATTTCTTTGGGGGTTAAAACTGGAAGGGAGTAAAACAGCTTTCGATGGTCATTTCCGCTTATGAAATATGATAGTAAAATTAATGTTTTACTAATTCCTTATACATTTTTCTATATTTCTTGAAAAACTATTATTTTTATAGTCACATTGCAGCAAAGGTGTGATACATAAGAGTTACAATATTTTATGTATTGCCCACTTAATGACGACATTTAATATTCAGAACTGAAGAAAATTGCTGTTGAAGTAGACACCAGCATTTTTGTCCCTAGTACTTTCGCTATGTTTACCACGAAAAGGTACGTCCTCATTGCCCTTTAAGTAATAATTGTAAGTACCATCGCTGTAATATCAACACAAGGATATCAGCTCTCAATTTGAATTTCACCAGTGAAAGAGCAACCTCATGTCCAAGCATAGCTAAATTTAAAAAAAATTGTAATCTCTTGGTTTTCTTTCCTACAATAGATTCCAGAAATATCGTTATCAGAGTTGACGAAGAAGCACAAGAATATTTTGCAACTGTAGTCTAATATTCCATTGACCCCGTACTTCTACATACCCATTGACTCGTGCAGGCCACCTGAGGCGAAAACGTACAGTACATCGATCGCCTGGAAATGAAAGGCGGTGTAAATTCTCACAGACTTCGAGTTGCGTTTGTGAATTGATCGTACACAAATACGGTACAGGAAGAAAATATATTTTTATAATATCTTCACACCACACTCACACACTTCACAATCACCACACACATAGCGTCATGATGCTTTTACAATAATTCTCAAATTTCTACGTTATTTTAAAATGTTGAGTTGATTTTCTAATGCTTTTTCTTCTTATCAACGAAAACAGATTTTAATTAAAATTAATATACAAGAAAGTTAAAGACAAATGATTCTTGTTTTCGGAATAAAAATTAGTTACTTGAAACACTTTTTACTCACAGTACATAGTGACATTTATGACGTTTATAAAGTACATATATTTACAAAAATGAAACTGAAATGACTGAAATAATTTAATCTAAATCAATTTCTATTGTTTTAATTTTTCATATTCTATTATTCAAAAATAATTTTCGTGTATACGCCCTAAAAAGTCAATTGCAATGATTATACGTTAACATTATCATAAATGATCTTATTGAACTGATTGTTGTATACTTTCAGTGCATTTCTTTAATCTTGCATTTCTGAGTAACGACATAAAAGAAAACATTCAAAATTTTCCATCACACATGATATTTACTGCTTTCCCAGATTCCAACAGGTAAATTCATTTGAAAGGGACTGTACGTAGCAGCATGGCGATATTCAGTATGTCCATTGACAGGGTTTCGATATACGTTTTCCAGATAAACAGATAAATTCAATTGGAAGAATCTGAACATGACGGTACAGGTAACATTTCAGGAGGGTTTTCACAGGGATTCGTTCGAAGTTTTCCAGATTTCAACAAATAAATTCAATTGGAAAAAACTCAACATAGCAGTAAGGCTGACGTTGCAGTATGACTTTTCACTGGCATTCGTTAGGCGTTTTTCAGGTTTCAACAGATAAATTCAATTGGAAGAAATTGAACGTAGCAGCAACGGGTGACGTTGCAGTTCGACTTTTCACTGGGATTCGTGAGAATCCGATTCAAGGAAGCAACGCCACGAAGGCGGAGAAGGGGCCGGCGCGGCGTAGCGCGGTGTCTCGTCTGCTGCGCTTTCTGAGGCCGGCTCCCGGGACACGCCCCCCTCCCCGCAAAAAACCCTGCGCGCCCGCGCCCCGCCGCCTCTTTTTGTTTGGAGTCGCTTCGTCTCCTCGTAAGTCTTTTTTCCCTCTCCAAAGAAATTGCTTTTTTCGTTTATATTCACTCCTGCTCAATGCGCGGGCGAAGAGAATCACTAGAAAAGCCTTTTAAGCACTTCTCGCTGAGACTGCTCCGCCCGGCGCGACATCTTCTCCATTGGATTCGATGCTCCCAATTTTCTGTTGATATTAGTCGAGAAAACCAGTCGCTTCGAAATCATCAAGAAAAAATGTGCGAATAATAAGGTAACATACGTACCGTATTTCCCTTCTGAAACAGAAAGGAAAATTAGGATTCACGCTTATGGAAGCATTAAATAATTTGAAACGCCTACATTTTACAGTAAATCAGCTTTTCGTATAAACCAGAAGAATATATAAGACATTTTCTCGGTGCGTAGGAATATATTTTTGGCTAATTCTTTTTACAGTAAATGATACTGCACCAACTATAGTTACCCTCCAAAACGAGAGTTTTACTCATTTTTTGTATTTTTTTCCTAGCTCAAAATATGAAAACAGAAGCTCAGGCAAGAAGGCATGAAGTCGTATTTCAGTCGGCGCTAACGAGCAGGTGAAGCAAAGAGCTTGCGGGCAGGGGGGCTGGACTATCTCAAGGTGCCCCGCCCCCCTTCAAGTGCAGCTCGTTCACCGGGAGCGCGTGGCTCGGAGGCCCGTGCCCCTTCCCCTCCGCTCCCCCC